GCCCCCAAACCCCACCCGGGCCCCGATCTTAAGCTGCAGCAGGAAGGGGGGGGCTTGGGGGGGGGGAAGCTGCCGAGGGGGCAAAGGGCAGAAGGAGCCGCCGCTCGCAGCGGGAAGCGCCGGGCGTGGTGGGGCCGGAGGACCACAACTCCCAGCATGCAATGGCCGCAGCCCGCCACGGCGGCGCCCGGCCTGGGGCGCTGTGCGCGCTGGGAGATGTAGTCCGCCCTCTGCGGAGGGGCGCGGTGCGTGCCGGGCGCACGGCACGCCGGGAGCTGTAGTTCTGCGGATGGAGAGCGGCCCCGAAAGGGGAGGCCGGCAGCTCCCGGCCCATCTGCTGCACCGCTCCTTTTTCCGTTGCTGTTTTTTTTGGGTTGTTTTTTTTTCTTCCTCTTCTGAGGAGGGGTGAAGGGTGGAGAGACAAAGAGGGGAGCAGCCGGGTGTAGGACAAGAGGATTTTTAAGACAGGAGCCTGCCCCAGGAAGGAGCCATGCGGCTGGGGAGGCGCTGCCCCTGCACGCACCGTGCTCAGGTGTAAGCTTCTCTTGGGAGAACGCCTCTACAATCAATCCACTACAAAGTTAACGCGCTTTCCCGTACTTTGAAGTACTGAAGTATTAGCAACGGGCTCCAACATCCTACCTTTCTCACCAAGGGTTTTGTTATCCCTCTCTCTTTACTAAAATTTGCGAGTATCAAATTAACAAAAAAAAGTTCAGCATTCATCTCCTTATTTTAGGAAAATCCTACTTCAAAGTAAGCAAAGCAAAACACTCTACTTCTGACTTCTCAAGTTTTCCTGACATCTCCTAACTAGCCTCCTTAGAGTTTGGCCCAAAAGACAACTTAATTAACATAAAGACCTTAGAGAAAAAATGTCTTTATTATTAACCAGGTTTTTTGCACTGCATTATATGCCTATTGGCCCAGACTGCTAAATAACATCTACACAATGTTTCTTTCATGTTTCAAGAATTGAAAATAACTGTACAAGGTTAAAGTACAAAAGTACACAAGACAGTGGACACGAAATATCCATGTATGAGTTTAACCCATCTGCTGCTTGGTTTGAAAAGTAGAACTTTAACTAAAAAATACTGTCCTTCTATAGTTCTGTCAAGTTTAATGGAAGTGGGTATAACCTGATTACAACACTAACACCAGTATCACTGATCTGATATTTACAAAAAAATTGTATTTTTCAATAAATTAAAGTCAATGCAACACCCATGCAAGCTAGAATGCTAGCTTTTTGGTGAACAAGGACCCAACATTTGAACAAGAACCTTCCATAGTCCCAAACTTTAAAACTGCCTTTTTTTTTTTTCTTTCAAACTGCATCCATTCCTCGCATTGAAGATGTAAACCCCAATCCCATTCCTCTTTGCGTATGAGTCTGTGATCTCGCCATTTCATACTGTGCATCTAGATTTCTGAAAACCTCTTCCTGTTGTTTCAGCGTTTTGTAACTCTCTTCATCAACTGAACTACAGCCAGCTTCATCCTCACTCTAGAAAAATAGACAGAAGGAGAAAAAAAAAACACATTAGCTGTGTAGGAAGTGGTGTTTTCATATGCCACCGGTGCCTTAAATGTAACAATTTGGCTTTGTTGTTTTCAAAAGCTAGTAAGAATTCAAGCATTTGGTTTTATTGCTGGAACATTCTGCGGTAGCTTTCCTGTCGCTGTCAAGAAACGTGCACAGCCCTTCCTCCAGTTCCTTTTTCTAACTCATTCAAATAAATGGCTCCCATTAATTTATTTATACAAAGTAATACTGTTTATCAGATTATGAATATTGGTTGCAGTTACCACTGTTGTTAGAGATCCTAACAGTTGCCTTGTTAGCCAGAAACATAATGAAATTCTAGAATTTGAACTAAATTCAGATTTAGATGGGGGTTGTGAACTTTTAATGGGAAATACTTAAAAGTTCTTAACTACATCAGGTAGTATCAGGTTAACTTAACATCTTTACTGGTTAAGGTACACTTTAAAATAAAAAATCACTATCCTACAATTAATAATAAACTTAATTACACATTCATAACTCTTTACCTTAATGCCCATCAGTTTTCTGAATTTGACATTTTGGTCCTTGTTTCCAAAATTTAATTTTTCCCATATTTCTGCAGACTGTGATTTATCCTGTACAAGTTAAAAAAAAAAAGTATCACCTTTTTTACGTAAGTTTCCATTAATAGCACAATACAGCAGCAAGCAAAAAGGCAGTATTGAAAACGAGCCCATTGTGTAGCGATGTGTGAGGCAAGTCTACTTAACCATAGGTTTCAAAACGGAGGTATATTCTTTACTTGGGTAGACCGTACTCGTTTCCATAAAGTTTGGAAACCTTGTCAGAATGCATGCTTAAAGTGAATTACAGAAGGATGAATTTGCTTATTACAATGAAGCAATATACAGCTGTCCTGGTTTTGGCTGGGATAGAGTGAATTTTCTTCCTAGTAGCTGGTACAGTGCTGTGTTTTGGATTTAGCATGAGAACAACGTTGATAACACACTGACGTTGTAGTTGTTGCTAAATAGTGCTTACACCAGTCAAGGACTTTTCAGCTTCTCATGCTCTACTGACTGAGAAGGCTGGAGATGCACAAGCCGGGAGGGGACACAGCCAGGACAGCTGACCCAAACTGGCCAAAGAGCTATTCCATACCATATGATGTCATGCTTGGCATATAAACTAGGGGAAAGCTGGCCGAGGGGCCACTGCTCAGGGACAGGCTGGGCATCAGTTGGTTGGTGGTGAGCAATTCTTTTTCATTTGCATCACCTGTCTGTCTTGGGTTTTATTTCTCTTTTTGTTATTTTCCTTTTCATTACAGTTTATTAGTATATTATTTTCTTTTAAGTATTAAACCGTTCTTATCTCAACCCATAAGTGTTCTCACTTTTACCCTTCTGATTCTCTCTCCCATCCCACCTTGGGGGAGCGAGCGAGCGGCTGCGTCGCCAGCTGAGGTTAAACCACAACAGCAGCACAATTCAGAAGAACTACTTGGACAGCATTCAGGTTTCTTCTTCCCTCCCTTTTGCCTCCCATCAATGCCACACGAACCAGTTTCAGTTTTTCACACCTTATGAAACAGTCTGTGAAAGGCTAAGTGAGCTTGTTAAATAACAGACACGTGATGATAATTAATCTCACACACACTTCCACACTAGCATAGTGTTGAAAGACAACAATTCAATATTAAAGTGCCAACTTTTCCTTAGTATCAACAGGCAAAACCTGTACTCAAATCCAGCGAATTTCTGAAAAAGCAACTGCCACAGAAGCCTTTTTTATCTGGTGGCCTATACTTTGCTAATTGCAAGAATATTTATTTGACACAGCATAAACGTCTGAAGGCTTGTTTGTATTTATAACTTTTGTTAGTGTTAGTAATGCATTACTCTACTCCTGAAAAGTTCCTAGCGAGGTTTACTGACTTGTTTTTTGAAGTCTGGAATTGGACAGGATACAATAATCAAATGAAAAGTCTCTACAGTCACAGAAAGAAGTGGTCAATTATAGTTTCTATAGCTTAGCCATCACTTTTCCGTAAAAAGAGACCATCTGTAGTTGACATTTAGTTATAACTTGTAGGCAAACTGACAAAAGTTAACATTACGATCCAATTCTACCTCTTAGGTTTTTATGACATTAGGGGTTTTCCTAAGGCTTGTGTCACAACCACTTGTCATTGAAGGTCTAGTTATCTTAGTCCTTTCCCTCCTAAAGTTTTACCTTGGGCTGCTGTTAATAGGGAAACTTCGTAACAGATATGAAAGTAATTTTGCTGCAAATAACATTAATAAGCATCCTTAAACTTTCCGAGTGCAAGATGTTTCCAAACAAGTTTTATAAAAGTAAGAAAAGACAACATTACCCCTTCCTTTTTGCCTTGCCAAAGCATCTTCCGCTTCTTCTCCTGCTCAGCAAATTTCATTGGGTTCACTGCTGCTGGGTTATAATAGCTAGGCACAGCTATTCCAGTCTCCGCTAGTGCTTTTGCTTGTAGTGCTGCCATTTGAGCTGCCATTGCTATTTGAGGAGTTACTTGTGTTCCCGATGCCAGAAGAGCAGCAACATTAATAACAGAACCTCCAGTGGCTGCAGCTGCTGAAGAAGAAAGGGAACTTGCTATCAGACAATAAGGTCAGACTTTTTGGAAAAACAAACAAAAAACCCCAACACAAACAAAAAACCCAAACAAGCCACACAACAAAACACCCCAAAACCCCCAAACAAAAAACAAACAAAAATCCCAAACACTTCCCTTCATCAGAAATAAGATGAAAGTGTCCGAATAACAAACACATGATAAAATACGTTATTTGTAAATTAAAAAACAAGTCTCCAGTAGTTTTCGTAAACCAGAACTAAAAGTGAAACTAATGTACCTTGTGCTTCTAAATACCCCTCAGCTGGTAATAGCTTTCACACTCTTGCTTAACGATGCATAAAGGAAGGGTCCAATGACCATCATGAAATCATTTACCAGCTTAACATACAACGTTTTTGTTGTGTGTATGCTCAGTAAGTGATAAGAAATCCTGATAGTTTCTGTTGGGGTTTTATGTCTGTTATTTTTGTTTTGGTTTTGCTTTTTCAAACATTTCCCAGTTCTAATTATGGTTTTTATATATGGACCAAGTTAACAAAGACAACCTGCACATCTGTTGGACAGGACTGTAACAGCACATAAGCCTACGCTATCTTCCACTCATACTATTGTTTTCCTAAGATATATTAATATAATAATATCTAAATTACATAATTCATATAATAGTTAATTTATTAATGTAATTAATATATTAATATAATATACATAGACTACCTGCAGCCATTTCTTGTTGTTTCTGTTTTTCAACCATTTCTTTCTCTCTCTGTTCTTGCAGCTTCTTTGCTCTTTCCAGTCTAGAAGAAAGTACATGAGAAAAAAAATATTTAGACATGCAAAATCAACAGCAGCAGCAGATTAATGTCACATATCATTAAAATTGTAACAATTTCTGACCTTCTGGCTAATGCTTCCTGTGCATGCTGAACCTTCGGGGCTTTTCAATTCTTTTCTTTCGCTCTCTGTAACCAAATTGAACAGAGTTGCTAAAACAATGAAAGCACATATATACCTTAACATTTCATAAAGTATTTGATCATAACTCTGAAAAATTGCTTAATGATTAATTTGGAGAGCTCTCAAGAACAGCTTTTACAGAGATTATTCTAGAACAGTGTAACAGTCACACTTGCCTCGTAACAAGACAGAGCTAGAACTGAAGGCTTTCAACTGCAAGACATAACAGAATGTGTAATTCTGGGTATTCATCTACCCTCTTGTAAGTATTTAGAACAAACAGATCTGCTCTACAGGTTTTCATTCTAAAACCTGACAAGAAAATACACGGTTTAACTTTCAGTAAAGTCAATTGCAAGAAAACTGTAAAATGGATCAAGCTACAAGAACGCTTTAAAACCATGAAAGACCTCACAGCACTATTATTATGTTAAAAATGAGCATTTTGAAGAGGCCCGATTTAAAAACTGGAATAGTACTCAGGGAAATTACTATTTCTCTCCCCTCTGTATACTCTTCACTAAATGCACTTTGGACAACTGTTTGAGGGAGGCTATCAAGCTCAATGGCAGAGCTGGTTTAAACACACATGATTTGTCTTGGGTTTGCTCTTGAGAAGGACAGCACCGTGCAGAGAACTACGAAGCATGCATTATCTGGAGCCTGACAAATCTGAAAAGAACCCAGTTAAAATATATTTTCAAGCAAAATACCAAAATATTCAGTTCATTACTCCTTTAGTAACCTTCTCCCCACCTCCCAAGTAGAAGTTGCTCTTACGACATATACATCTAGTCCCATCTAAGCAACAACCGCTCAAAATACACATATAAAGTACTATTAGCAGTATTTATCTTTGCCAGGATCATTAATATCTACGTTACAAGAGATGAGCGTTTATCCCTGTTTAAGTCTCCGACACTGATGTTTTAAACAAAGAAGTCACAGACACTGGAAGCGTCCAACAAAGCTTAAATTACAGTAGGTATCACTCACATTTTCCCCAGATTTGCCATAAACAGTAAGTTGAGATGCACAAAGATGTTTCTGCAATTTTATACTCTAAATATTATCATCAACCATTTGAGATAATAGCTAACTTGACAACAGCCACTTTAAATGGCATTCAGATACTCTGTTTCTTCTGTTTGCAACTTGGGCAGCATCTACAAACATCATGAAACGTAGACTGAAGTTACAAAAAGAGATCCTTGTTTACATGACAAATCTGGTAGAATACAAAGGAGGCGAGACTTATCTTTTCATAGAAGATGACAAGATGCAGATTCAGGCACTGGGAAGTGACAGATCTGCATTCCTGAGATAAGATGTAATGCATGTTTCAAAGATACCTTCATTTTTCCCGTGCTGACTATTGTAGTTTGGTCTTGTCTTTGGTCTGATGCTTTATTGCACTGGTAAACATCAAGGAAATAAATATTTGAGCTTTTGTATTTAAGTATTTCCATTTGAAACAAGCAGATGGTGTCATGTTTTCCACCTAGCATTTAATCAGAGCAATGCCACAAAAGAACTGCCAGGAGGGTCTACATGCTCACAGAACAAAAAGATTAGCTTAAATGCTAGTGAGGACAGATCACTTGAGAACATGAGCTTGAGATTATGCAAAGAACCATCAAGAGAAGATCAAGCTCTACTGTTTACAAACACTTCTGTCATAGCCTGTTAAGGGTAACACAACAAATATTGCATTTCATGAATGAGGGAATTCATTTCACAGCTGAGTTTTAACAGGGTAGGCTCCCACATCATGTTTATCTGGCTTGTGAAGGGTTTTCCTTGAGGCTTGCCCCATAATTCTCTTTCCAAAAGTTTCACCTGAACCCAGAACTTGATGAAGTGTTCTAGCTACTGTTAAAAAAAGACTTATGCCTCACTTATTTTTCCTTCTCTAGGATTTGCGAGACAAAAATCAGAACTTAAAAGAAATGGATTCTTGCTCTATGTCCATCACTATCCAACAAGGCATGTTTCCAGTTGAAGAAATTCCTAAGTTATGACTATCCCTTACTTCTTCCTCCCACATCTGCTGTTCAGGTAATTTGAATCCCACTGAAGAAGCAAAAAACTATTCTGGGACGTGAAGTTTTCACAGAGTCATTAAACACGAAACGTTCAAAGTGACTTTTCAAAACAGTAAGTGCACATCATCTGTAATAACTGGAAACAATGGGGAACTGAAGCCTTACACATCATGCTGAAGGTGGCTTAAATACCATTAACTACAAGTAACGTGTGTACCAATTGAAGATCCAGCTCTACTCACCCCAGCTGAATGTTTGGTAGAAAGTGCATGCCAAAATAAAATATGACACAAACCATGTAATTCAACTAGTTCTTCAGAAAGATAAGTCTTCTTAACAGTTTCACAAGTGATGTTGTAGCATTACAAGAGTGTGCTAGATTCTTAAGTCTCCAATGATCCACCGTAATGTTGAGTAGTCATAACCAACTTCTACACCCTTTAAACACGCAATTTAAAATACTCTAGTGAAAATACTGTAAGTGAACTGGAACACTGGCAACACTTTCTTGGGAGCTCTGAAGGGACACCAATTTGCATTCAAACTACTTGGTTTACTTTAAACAAGTAGGAGGGAAAACAACTGTCATAGTCATTAAGTCATATTTTAGCTTACTCATTCAGAAAATCCTACAGGGCATTAAGAATGCAAAGGTGACACATACAAATAGACTCGGAACTCTACACCAAAACACTGAATGATTCATCAGTACTGGAAAACATTAACTTCTATACAGTGATGAAAACCTCAACTCTAGCATATTCCAGGTAAGGCATGGATCTCAACTCTGCCAAACCGACCCAGGATAAGACAGGATGTGTCCAGCTACAGGATTTCAATCTGTGCTTCTAGAATTTAAGTTTAAGGAAGAAACGAAAGCACCCAAGATAGGGAGAAAAATTAACGTAACTATTCTCACGTTGAACTTGACAAAAAGGAGTTGGTAATCACTTACACAGAATAGTACACTCAGATGAGAAATAGTCTGTCTGACTCAAAATTCACCTTAACATTAACTGTGCTAGCTCGCAGACAAGACAAATTTTAAAATAAACTTTGTGGAGCTGATCAGGATTAGCTTCTGATCAGTGTATCTGCTCTGACAGCCAGTGATTTCCAGTTAAACTTCCCTTTTATGATATATACACAAAGAAAAATAGATAAATACAATAGTATTTTTGAAGTTGTGCTTTGCCAACCACACTACTCTTTTATCAACACATGAAAGGGTTTGTTGTACCTTAGTCTTCAGACCTTCCCACTTAAATATAATTTAAATATCCTATTTAAAATAGTAAATTCAGGTGTGAAAAACCAAAAAGAAATTCAGGTGTGAGAAACCAAAAAGAGCTTGAACTGTGGTAATCATTACTACTCAAAATATTAAGTTATTTATTTTCCTTCTACTTTATTGGTCAAAAGTTCTAAAATGGTGGTTTTGTAAGATACCCACAAAATAACTAGTTAAGCATTTCTACTTGCCAACATGAAATCATGCTATGAAAAGCCAAGAATCTGAGACACTTAAGCTAAGACAAATGTTTCTGTAAGTGTATGTGAACTACCCAGTCCTTAACCCACTCTATCAATACAGCTGAGAAAAAGCCAAACACATTTAGTTACACTGAATAGTGATTAACTGGCAAACCCATCATTCTTCTATACAGCAGCCTGCCACAGAATGTTCAACCAAACACACACCACCACCACCACGTGTATATTGAAGTTAACACTTACCTGCTTCTACTCCTAGTTCTGCTTTTACTTCTACTTCTATGTCTGTGTCTAGATCTTGATCTAGAACGAGATCTTACACGCCGTTTTCTCTCTCTGCTGCGAGATCGGGACTTTTTCCTATCACGACTTCTACTACGATGACGTCTGAAACACATGTCCCAAATTCTTACATATAGTCTCATGTTTAAATTCAGCTTCTACTTAAGGACTTACATACAGGTTTGTCACCACAGGGCAAAATGCATCAGGCAGGGTGGGGAGACTGCAAACTACACACGGAAGAGTTCATGCCTGGAACAGTTTAAGTTGTAAGACTAGGAGATGAAATGGGAAAGGAACCAAACACTACCACCAACCACAACAGACAAGTGAGTTATGCAGAGTTTACGTAAACAATCATACTCATCAATATAGTTATTTTTAGTTGTTCATTAAAGTGTACATCTCAAAACACATACACAGCCAAACTAATCTGATGCAGGAGTCTCAAATTCAAGGCAACAAAACTCTCTTCCTCCCCATGGTATTCCAATACCTTAGGGAAGAGATGCCCAAATTTCAGCCCATGAGTCACACACAGTCCCTCAGCGTATTATTAGCTGAAGCTTGTTCCTTGCTATCATGTTTGCTACAGGTCCCTCAGCTATGAGCAGAGCTGGCTGAAAGTTCGGCTGGCAGCAACCTGTTTGTCCCAAGCAATTCTCCTACCATGAGTGTGCTAGGTGGCCTAGTAGGCAAGAAGGCTTAAACAGCATTGTCTCTGGGCAAGTTCTTGATTTAGGAGGCAAAAAGCCATGACACTGCTACAGTGTACTTTCTTTCCTGTCACTGACAACAGGGAACATTTAATACACTCTGTTTAGAAATTTTTTATACTCTGTATACTATTCATAAACGTGAGACAGATCACCTACATAAAGCCTTAGAGGTATTTTGTACTTCTACTCAGAACCAATGTGAAAAAAAGCAAGTAGCAGCAAATGCACTACCCAATGAAAACTGAAACATGCAATATAAATTGATGCTTTAGAGTTAAATCAATAATTACTCTTAATTTAGTAATGTAATTCAGCTGTAGTTCAGAAGTCTACACAAATTCCAAAGACTTAAAGAATAATCATGTAAAACAACTTACCTTTCACGAGACCTGGATCTTGAATGACTCCTCCCTCTCGATGATTTTCTCTCTTTGCGTTTATGTCTATCCTCACCATTTTCAGATGAATTTAGGCTATCTCTTCCCTTGTCAGAAGAATGTTCTTTGTCATTGTGGTCTTCAGATTTGTGCTTCTTTGAGGACTTCTCTTTGGATTCATGTCTTCTTGCCTGTTTTAAGAAGAAGTTGGTTCTTTCAGGAAAATAGTGCAACAAAGAGAGTTAGTATGGGTATCAGAAGATAAAAAATGATAAGTTGTGATGCAACATTAGTAACCTTAGGAGCGTGACTCAATCATGAGCAATGGCTATTTTACCTAATGCCACCAACTACCCAAAGTTGCAAATACACGCTATAATTTTTTTCCCCCCTTTTCCCTCCTCCCCACTGTCTAAAGGATTCCTAAAGCATCCATCAAGGTATCTTTTACAGTGTTTCCATATAAGAGTTCCCAGCATTGTAACAAAAACAACTGTCATTTTCAGTTACTGTCTCCATTCCAAACACATAATAAGTACCTATCTTTAAGTACCTGACAATTTATGAATATGCATATATACACACATACTCACATTTGTAGTCAATATTTAATATTTGCCTAAGCCTACCATGTAGAAAGTTATTAAAATCCATACATAGTTGCAGACACATTCTATTTTGCTTTTAGAACCAAAACAATTTTCTATCCATCATTATATAATTAATTTTTAGAGCAAAACTCTTCAGTCAGTAACTTCCAACAGTTTTTAAAAAGTAATAAGTTACATGGTTGACATACTTTTTTTTTTTTTTAGTATTTAAAACTAACATGCATCACTCTCAGACCTCCCACAGTAGTTTTAAATTAAAGATGTGCTGCTCCACTATACCGCAATTTCTTCCTGCAGTGCCTCTTAAAAAAAGATTCCTTTTTATAGCTGCAATGCCAAAAATACTTAGCAAGGTCAGGCCTGATTTTTGCCAGTGTTTTCCTCAGAGACTAAGTCATGACATCAACACCTTTTCTTAATATATCCAGTTTATTTTGAAATCTTTCTAGCACAAAAGCATAGCCCGCTTAAGACTTATGTTTAAATAATGCTTTGTTTCAAGTCACAATTTAAGCACGATACATTCATTTTAGACTAAAACCCAATTCTTCAGGGTTTTTTTGTTTATCTAAACCTGTTAACTACTCATAAAACCTTTCCTATAATCATAACTCTCTCTCAAAAGAAAAAAAGTCTAGAGAAGATGCTATAATTAGCTTATACCCACTTATCCAAGCCTTTCTAACTCCTTTATATATATCCATTTCTAAATCTATCTGATTATAGTTCTTTAAGTATACAATGCTAGACCTTTTTCCTGCTTTTACAGTATTTTATTCTTAACTCCTTGAATAATCAGCTGTTACACAGAAACACGTCTGAAGTTTGAGATGTTACCTGTACATTAATTTTAAGTACGTATATACATAAGTAGCTGTTCTGATATACATATTAAAAAGAATTATTGATATTCAGTATTTAGTCTACAGACAAAGAGCTTAAGCTTGCATGAAAACAGTAAATCTACTGTAGGACATTATTCCTCATCTGTTCACTCTGTGAAACTTAGAAATTGCTAGAAAAATTGTGTAAGATTAGATCCAACAGCATGGCAAAACACTGGACGTAATTTTAAGCAAGGACTTTTTTTTTTAAACATTAAAAAGAGATTTATTTTTTTTTAAATCACATCTTCCAGGCACACACTTAGTAATAAACCACCATTATATCCCATAACGGATTTAAGATATTTTTAAGGGAAATATGAGTTTGAATGACTAATAGTTACCTTATCATGAAGTAGGCTTATAATTTTGCTATCTGAGTCTGCAGCGTCTTCAGTTCAGTCTCTTCGCGCATTAGCACGCTGAGTATGATTTATTATAGAAATGTTATCATGTGAGCTAAACAATATATTCAATTTCACAAAAACTCTCCTAGATTATTTTTCTTTTCCTCTTTTTTTTTTTCTCTCCTCCTTTTTTAAACAGAGCTTCCATTGGAATGGGGGAAGAAGTTCCTGTCCCAAGTTATAAGTTAAAAAGTCCCTCATCTGACCCAGCCTGCTATTGCCCCACATGGCTTAAGCTTCTTTGTGACTATTTCGATGCTCCTGGTTTGCTCGTCTCATCTCTTCTCTGGTGTGTAAGCCAGTTATTTTCAAGGTATTATTGATGCTGTCTCTTCTCACTCCTCTATATATATACACACATAATTATTTATTTAAAAAAAGAGACAGCTCTCTGAAATTTTTGCTGCTACTGTCATATTTCCAGCTGACTCCGATTGTTTGTCAAACTATGACAGTCTTTACAATTAAAGGATGCAATAAACAGAGCTCAGTCAGGTGGGGAATTATTTTTAATATACTTAAGTAGTGGGTATGTATCATTGAAAGTCCTGAACATTGGCCAGGAATAAAGCCACCCAAGGCTTTCTGTTAATGGAAGCTCTGTGAAAGGCATCAAGAACACCATTCTACTTCTCCACATGAATTCTTTCTTTTGGCTGTTTCCACAGAAAAAAAAAAAAAAAAAAAGAAATTAAGTTACTAGTTTCTAAAAGCATTTTTCTATAAAACTATTACCTTGTCAACATGATGGCTGCAATCATGCTTCACTATGAAAGGATCTCCATATCCATTTTTAAGCTTAAAGTTTCCAATTTCTTGTACTTACCATAAAGTCATTTATATAGGTTTACACATATGTGCATTACTACAAGATACTTTAAGATGTATTGTACAATTACCTAAACGCTACAAAGTGTTAATTACCTCTTTGCTTCTGCTCCGGCTTCTGTGTTTTCTTCCTTCAGTATCTGGAGAAGGAAACATTCACTGTTATTTACCAAGTTAAAGAGAAGATCAGCTGGTTATAATCTTTCTAGTTCCTTTCAGTCATTCCACCCCCCAAAGTCAAGAATAGATATTTAGAAAACAAACAGCACTATTCTAATATCTACTGCAGAAAGCAAACTCCAGCTGTTATTCCCAGTTCTTTGCATTTATTTAAGCTCTCACAGTGAAAAACTAGCCCTTATCATACTCCAGTCACATTCTTCAGCCAGGTAACCATATTTTTGTTACAACCATGCAAAAGTATCCCAGTCTAAGCATATCTAATTAAAATGAAGACAAAGTAGTATGGTTTTCTGTTTGGTGTTGCTCCCCCCGCCCCCATCCCCTGAACATTGACAAGACCTTTTTCCTTAGCACTTCTATCATTAAAATTGAAAAGTTTAACTAGAACACATTTAAGATACAAACCCAAAATCAGTAGCTTCATTTTTTTCCCAATTGTAATAAGTTACTATAAGTCTGTATATTTTTTCCAAAAAAGCTTTAAAGAGATTTCAGTTCTACAAGCACACGCTAGAACACTACTAAGCAACTTTGCTTATATGAAGACCATACCTGACTTTCGTCTTCTTTCCCTTGACCGTGAGCGTGATCTTGAGTAATGATGCTTTGATGTTCTGGGAGAACTAGAGGCATCTGATTGTTCCTTTTTCTTCTCTCTTTCTGGAGAGGACTTTTCTGGGGCTACTCCATCTCGTTCTGTATCGCTACCCTACACATGAAGACAGAATGCTTAAAACCCCAAAACTTAGGACTGAAAACCAAGAAAAACTATTTACTTAGTACCCCCTCTGAAGATGCACTTAAAATTATTTTCTGTAAAGACAACCTCGTGCGTAGCCATCCCGTTATTAGTTAGGCAACAGCTTGATAGACTTGCAGTGAAATGTGTAACTGCATACAGATTGATTTTTCAAGACTTTATTAAAGAGAACTAATATGTACTAACATTTTGCTCTCCCACTACCTTAGACTGCACTTTACTTTTTCCACGTGCTTTTGAGAATATCAGTAAGACTAAACCCTGATCCACAGTTTTCTCTCAGTGGTGGTGTTTGTAGGTCAAATACCTTTTAACATTTACACGACTGAGATTACTTAAGGTCAATGCTGTCCCAACAGACCTAAGTCATCTCACAAGTTAGAGCATTATTGAGGCATAGCACAAAATCCCCACAGTATTCTGAAGTATGGAATGAATTTTGAAGATAAATGAAGTTAGGTATATTGTATTAGTGTTGGACAGCTAACTTTTGAATAAGGAAAAACCTCAAACAGAATCTCTATGCAAAAATGCGTATTTCTATGAGAGTACATATAGGTCACATCCACCTGTCCCAACAATTTCTGTATCACATTTTTCTTAGATGACAAAACCCAAGATGTTCCTTCCATTCCTTCTAAACCTTGACCTAGGAGGACTAAACCCAGAAACTTATCTCGTGTAGAGCAGTCAAGACTGCTTTGTGATTCAATGCTTGGGAGAAGTACATGTGTACAACTGGCACACAATGCAATGAAAGGAACAGAATGGAAAAAGTACACACTGAAGAGGTGAATGTGCTTTCATTAATGTCTTTACAGATTCATTGGTCTCTCTTGTTCCCATCACATAAATGGCAGTTATAATCAAACCTTCTGAACATCGTGTGGCTGCAGAAGATTTCACCAAGGACATAATTTGGCCCAGAAATGTCATTCATGAAGATAATTTAGCACAGCAGAGGACTTGAACTTGCATGGTTTTCTACCAGCTGCAGTTTTATTTGCAAACTTAACAATACATGGGAGAACCTCTCAAATGCCTATTTATACTCATTACTTTGAAAACAAAGCAGCTAGTTTTTCTTAAACCACAACAGATATTCCAGATTGTCATTAACATATTGTGTATTAATGGTAGGCTTTCTTCAAAACATGCTACAGGTAAATCTTTGGGTTTATATTTCAGCTACTACTGTTTAGTCTGCCCAATTCTTTATTAATTTCCATCTGTACAGAGATACATCTATAGTAAAATCTCTCCTGAAGAGACAAAGCAGCTGTTCACTTTTCCATCTGCATGGTATACCACTACCCAGTTCAAAACACACCAGGGTATGGACAACAGCACTGACCGCTTAAGATTGCATCTGCAGCAGAGCTTTAACTTAGTCTCAGTGACACTTCTGAATACTACTGACACCCCACACACCATCCTGGAAACTTTAGGACATTAGATAAAGAGTAGGAACTGACTCCCCTATTTGTGATCTTAGCCATCACAATCCTTGGCATTCCACATCTATCAATCATCTGCTTATCTACACCTCCCCCCCTTCTACTCAGTCCCTTCCTTCTTCATCTAAGGTTTCCAAAAGACTCAGCTAGAAGTTGTTTCAAAGGAATTTTGAGTTTTCTATAAATTTACATTTCAAAGTTACATGAGAAGGATAAGGAGAACACCAGCTAACAGTCTAAGTTAACCAGGTTTTTAAACATCGTACCCAACTGAAATTGAGCCCACTGCCACATTTTCCAAGGCTACCAGTCTCATTATTTATACACGTTGCTACTCATTAACGCCCTTGTGCATTGCACCTTAGAGAAATCTCTCAGCTCTACAAAAACACAGACAGAAAAAAAAAGGCTGACAGGCTTCAATGAGACTATTCTCAGTTCTTAGATAGGCCACAGGCTCACGGTTTCCTTGAACAAGCCCCTCACCTACTACTTTAGAGGAACCTCAAAGATAGTGCCTATAATCTAGGTGCAAAACTACAAGTCCATAATTCTTCAAGTCCTTTTACAGAAGGATTATCTTAACTGGTTAACTTATATAAGCCAAAAAAGCATGATAAAAAAAAAGATTCATTTTCTTCAGAAGTTTATGGTCCTCTTGAAAGTTTGACCAGTGGTGAAACAGAGCAAGACAGAACTCTAAATACCACGTTAAACACCATAAAGCATTTAAAGTCAACTTTAAAGAGCTTTATCACTTTCGAGTCCAGTTTGGGTTGTTTTTTTTCTGCACTCAAGACTATCTAATAACTTTTGAAAAAAAATTAGCCACATTGTGTTTGACAACTACTCTTATTGGTTCTTCAACTCAATTATGGGACAAACACCTTTATATGTTACCAGGCCACACAAACAAACACCTTTATATGTTACCAGGCAACATAAATTTTAAGAAAGAATAAACCTACACTCTTAGGCCGTGTATGCCTATAAAGGACAATGATAACTACAGCAAAGGCGTTTCCTATCGATATTAACCAAAAAAACAGGAGAATGGGGGCAAAAAATTAATCACCGACTGCAAAAAGACGCTGAAAATAGCAGGCCTGCGACCAAACACAAAGAAAAATAATAGGACAGAGAAAGCTACAAGAATGAAAACCGAGCATGGCCCAACCACCAAATCGATCCCCTCTCTCCTCCCCTCCCAGGGAACCTGCGCTCCACAGTCCCCCTGAGAAACGCCCGCTCCTACAGCCACAATACTTCTCTCCCCAACCAGGAAACGATAGGGCCTCGATCACAAGGCCTCTTCGCTTCTCTCCAACCCCACAGAAATGAAACAGAAACTTCTGGAAAGAGGGAGAGAAGTAATGGGTGAAAAGCGGCCACCCCCTCCCCGAGGCCCATCATGGCGCCGGCAAGCGAAGGAGCGGCGGGCGCCATTTTGTCTCTCCGCGCACACGGCTTCCCGACCCAGCCCTCCCCATCTCACA